ATATATATATATATATATATATATATATATATATATATATATAAAATTATTTTCACTGACATTGTAACAACATTTATTATAAAATGAGTTCTCCTGATTATAATTCTCTTACTATATTATTATACTGACAAAACCAAAACTTTTTCTTCAGTACATACATTGAGAGAAAAAAATGATTCGTCTAAAATTATAATTATTTTTTATTCCAACCATATTTTTTTTAGTGAAATCATAGTAGAGTATAGAGTTGTAAAAATATTAATTAAATTCGTTTCAACTTAATAACTGATTTGAGTAAATAATTTCTAATTTAATTAATTGACGATTAATATAAGCTTATTTAATTAAAAATATTTTATTTAACCATTGACTTCAAGAAATCTAATTAAAAATCACTCAATTAACGATTGATTTGAAAGAATTCAATTAAAAACTGTTGAATTAACGATTAACGAGTAGTCTTTAATTACTTTTGTTTGTTTTAATCGTTAATTCAACAGTTTTTAATTGAATTCCTTCAAATCAATCGTTAATTGAATGATTTTTAATTAGATTTCTTGAAGTCAGTGGTTAATTAAAATATTTTTAATTGAATAGGTTTATATTAATCGTCAATTAATTAAATTAGAAATTATTTACTCAAATCAATTATTAAATTGAGATGAATTTAATTAATATTTTTACAACTCTGTATTATACTACGATTTTAGTAAAAAAATATATATATGATTGGAATAAAAAATAATTATAATTTTAGACGAATCACTTTTTTCTCTCAATGTATGTACTGAAGAAAAAAGTATTTGGTTTTATTAATATAATCATGTCATGACAATAATTTTATATGTGTGTTATTATACCAGATATAGTAACACACATATAAAATTATTATCGCTAACATTATAGTAGAATTTAATAAGAAAATGTTTTGATTATTATTAATAAGAAAATTGTTTACTATAATTTATAGGAATTATTTCTGTATGTACTTATGGTTACAAATATTACACCAATTATTTCTCAGTGTACCTTCATGCAACACGTATGCATACAATGTGCTTATAAAAATATTAAACATTGATGGAAGCTTCCGCTGTACGTAACGCGGTTGCGTGCACACGTAGCGCGTGAAATCGCGGACACTTCGGCGCGTTTCTACGAAAACACTCACGGTATATATTGAGCTTCCATCCGTCCTCCATCTCCGAGTCCGGAATAACTGGCACGTTGGCGCGACAGTACAGGAACTTTCCGGCGTCTTCGATATTCGGCACGAATGTGAGGATGCTGGTTGTTATGTTGCCGTCGGGAGTCGCCTGCCGACGAGATTTCATGAATTTAAAACAGTTTACCGAACAATTTAATAATCGCGATACGCATATATTCGCTCCCGGGATCGAATCGGCGCCGCGCAGGATTAAATTAGAACTTCGGAACGGCAATGATTGCACCGCGGATTAGCATTCGATCTATATGAGACTAGAATTTGAAAATATTTTCCATCACGTAGCAACGTCGTGCAGGACATTAAATATCCCCCGCGAGTTGAGTACTTTTTTTGCAGAAACTAGCGAAACAAACACGTTTTTTTGTCGTTGACAAAGTTACGAGAACATTAGGGGAATGAAAAACTTTGCTCTTATTGATTTGTGCGAAATTTCCGGAAGAACTTTTCGCGCAACATTCTTTTATTTTTAGTTCGCTCGCGACAAACTCGTCACGCAGAAACATGAAAGCCACATGCGGACGGATCGATCGTAGCTCGCGAAACAACTTCATTAATTTAATTCTCTCGCGTTTTTACCCTCGCGGCCAAAGGTCAAGAGAAAAATAACCGCAGCTTTCCGGAAGAGACCTCGGGACGAGCACGTGTCGTATGATTTATGGGAATGTATTAAATCGCCTGAGACGATTTAAAATCATACCGTCTGTCGCGCATTTCGCAATATCATGTTCCCTTTGGACCACGTGATCTTGGGCTCCGGCCTAGCACCGACGACCTCGCAACCTATCTCGTAGGTCTTGCCAGCGCTAAATGGACGGATATCTCCTTGAATCCGGACCCAGAGTGGTTTCACTGCAAAAGAGTGCGTCACACTCAGATTTAAGTACCTATCGATTCGCGTACGGTCGTGTGACTCATAGAAATCTCGCCGGTAACGACTAAATTCACCGACCTCGCCTGGGTGAGATATAATAATCGATACATGACAATCTCTAGGTTCTTACCTAAATATCACATTACAATTTCGTTACAATATTACATCATATTATAAATCAAATAAACAAGCAAAATTACGTTGTATTTATTATCGTAAACAAAATTTCAAAACACAAAATAACAGATTATCGCAAGAAATTGAAACTGATTTCATTTTTTCGAGTCTGGAGGCCACATTAATAATTATTATTTGGAACTTGTCTCATGTGAGATATTAAAATTTGTATTTCAGGTTATATTTATATTTCAGGTTATATTACAGTTTTTCATATTTGAATCATATGATATTCGTGACATTATATTTGTAATTCAATTGAAAATCTTAAATCTAATTATAAATTTACATCTGAAGTACTCAGATATGAATTCAGAGCTAGATGAATTTTTCAGTTGAATCGTGATTACAAACATGAGTGTCGTTACATAATTCAGTTGAAAAACATGGATCTAACTCTGAATGAAAGCACCTTACATGAGAGACAAGCTTAAAGCAACAACTATTATAATAAGGGCTTTAGTAATTCACTTTAATGAAGGACACAGTTTTGAATATTTTTGTTTGGCGGAATATTGTGTCGGAAATCGGTGCTTACAGTTCATATTGAGCGACACCGAGCTTGATATCGGCGACACCATATTGTTGTTCGAGGCTTGGCAAGTCAGAATCGCATGCAAATGCTCGCGGCCTAACTTTTCCAATCGCAGCATATTGCGGACCCTTTTAGTACCGACAGCTTCGTAGCTGTCGTCTAGTAGAGCATTTTCCCGCCACCATGTCACTCGTGGTTGCGGTCGTCCTAAAGAAACATAAAGGCAAGAGTACAATATAGAGAAACACATAGAATAACGGTCCCGTGAAAGGCACTCGTTCGACTTGTAATCGCATTTCACTCCGTTACGCGCCAACAGTCGATTCATTATGAATATACAATCGAGCCGCGGTGAGCAGAGAGCTCGGAAATTCTTTGACGCATAAGAAAAATTCTCTCGTGGCAGAACACTTCCTTTCGCCGCAAGGGAGAAAAATACTTTCGGATTAGCGCGCGAGGGAATATCGTGGCGCAAACGGGCGATATCGTCACCATGGCGGTTATCGAGCACATTGTTATTGTTCAGCCCTTCGCCGTTCGATACCGTGTTCGTTCGACGCGAAAATTTCAAACGCGAGCTCGCGAATAATGGCGCGGCTGAAATATCAAAGAAATCGAGCCGCATTTGTTTCGCGGGATGCGTTACGGAGAGCGGCCCGGAGAGTGCCGCAACGTCGGAGGCAACGTTGAACGTTATGCGAGGCGAATGCACCGGGAGTGCACCGACGCGTCATGCACTTACCACCGGCGGCGACACACGTGATATTGAGAGACGCTCCCTCGGTGTACGGGCCAAGGATGTAATGGGGAATATGAGACCCTCCGTCTTCGTCCAATATGCTAAGCTGCTCCGGCGGTACTGTAATAATTTTCCACAATAAGAGAGAGCGAGAGAAAGATAGAGAGATAGATAGATATAGAGCCATAGAGATAGATAGAGAAAGAGAGAGAGTGTGTGTGTACGAGTGAGTGAGAGAGTGAGAAAGAGAATACCGCGCGCCTCGTTCCTTCTTTTACTTCTTTTTATTTTTTCTTATTCGAAGCGACTGAGAGACGCCGACAGAGGGAGGGAGGGGAAACTGGGGTGAATCAATTTGCGCGACGATGTATCAATCCTATAATGTCACCCAAGAAGACACCTCGTGGTTACCGTTACGGCGATGCTAAGAAATTTCCATTTAGTAACGTCGAGCGACGAGCTGCGTCGAGGGCGGACGGGACGGAAAAGCCCCCCTGAGTATTAAGAAAAATGTATATTCTGCGGTAAAAGATGGGATTTTCGGGGGGTGAGAGAGAGGACGATATTGAATTTATGCGAAAACTATTCTTCAGGGTGTTCTTACGTGGCCGCGTCTAAATCTAAAAAACTGAAACTTCTCAACTCAAAATAGCTCGCTTTGGGAAGGTAGAAGACCCTCCTCGCGGTGGGGCGCGCGTTTATTTCCTCGGGTCGGACTCCCACACGTCAGATTTGCGAACCGTATCCAGTGCTAATCGCGCGCGAGCAAGAATTCGTGATGTCGCTAATAATGCTAATCGTTCGAGTGCCGGCGCGACGAGGACACGTCCTCCTCGGAGCAAATCAATTTTCACGGCGATGTATCAGCCTGCGCCGTCACGTACCGCCTTTACCATTAAGGTGATGTTATATCTGAGATAAAAAATAAATTTTAATGCGCCGATATGGCGGCGAGCTCAACGAGCGTCTATCCGCCCGTTATTATCGGCCACGGTCACGTAGCCGTTTCTCCATTAAGGCAAACGTTACCCTATCGTGACGCAGGGGAAAAAGAGGACGTTAAATGCAGGCGGTGCACTGTTTTCGAGAACGCTCGGGATCAGCGGACAGCCGCGCCGGCGCGGGGATTCCGCGGTAACGATGTCGATCGTATTTAGAAACGGCACGGGCAGCGCGAAACGTCGAATCGATCGATATAATTCCACTGTATAATAAATTGCAATTATCCCTCTCTGGGACTTGGCAGAATTCCAATTCTGGAAATTTCTCGCACGCGACAAGTTATTGTGCATTTTCCGCTTCGTGTCGCAACTTTTTCGCAACAAACGCGCTTCGGTCATCGTGTAAGTTTTTTCCGGCAAGTCGTCTCTCCCTGTTATTTATGTAAAGTAAGATTGCGCCGTTTAATTTCGACTCATGATCGTTGACCCCGGAGAAAATTGGGGATCGTCGGTTTCCATTGGAACGTAACGTAAATATCTGTTTTTGGGGGATAAGGAGGAACGTGTTGAAAGGAGCACGGTCGTCTCTTAGAAAGAAGTAAGAAAAAGGAACGTTCTCGTCGACCGTATTCGGGTCAATGCGGAATATCGTTTGGAGACTCACTGATGACCGTTAGATTGACTTTGCTGTTGCGCGTCGGCGACTGCTTGAAGTCGACTCTGCATCTGTAAACAGCCGCGTCGCTCTCGCGAACGTTTTCCAGGGTGAGTTTCGCGGGACTCTCGGAATGCTTGAAAAACGCGCGTCTGTCCAGGCTGCCGTTCTGCCAATGGCTTCCTTGATCCAGGCTCTCCCTCCCTCTCGTATCGAAGCTGCAACAATCGGTTGAAATTAAAAAAGAGAAAAAGCATATTTCACAAGTCATCAATCTCAGTTGACGTGTTCGCGAGATGTAAGTAATTTTAAAGAAACATCGCGGTCCTCGGTATAGAGATATCAGCTGCGGTGGAGAATCTGCTGAGTCCATTGGTCGGATCGGTAGAATTGACGACACGCTGCTAATCGGATTTAACAGTGCGCAAAATTAACGATAACCGTGATCAATAAATTATGTAAAATATTAGACATATATATGTACATAACAACATCCTGTTGAGGGACGTGATCGGAAGTTTGCCGATAAAAAGCCTTATATAAGAAAAGCCCCTTTTCCCTCTCTCTCTCTCTCTTTCCCGTTCTTTTCCTTCAATACCCGCTAATGCGCGTCATCGTGTTTCTCGGACAGGCGGACGTATAGAGAGAAACTTTTATATTGCCCCTATTAAACTCTCACGAGACGGTCAATTGAGAAAAATGCTCCGACGTGGCGCAGTTACCGAAGAAAAGTACAGAGTCACGCAGGATTCCCTGTAGCACTTTGGCCTCTAATATCGGCCCTTTTACGCCAGCGCGCTGCCCTCGCAGAATTTCTATTGGCGCGGGGCGAACAGAAACGAAGCTAACTGAATTTATGCGGCGTCGTTGCTACAAAGAAATTTTCCGAAGAAATTTGCGACGGATCGGGGCAGGGATGGGGACCGGGGGGCTATAATGAAATTCCTCGCCAACTTTTCAGAACTCATTATTGTGCTTCGGAGAAATTTTCGAGAAAGCTTGGTCTCGGGATATTTAACATTAAGAAGGCAATTTTTCTTCCAAGGTCGCTCTTATGTATTGCTTTTTGAACGCACGCGCTTCGCCGTCGCGCAGAATTTTATTCTGGATCCTGCTATTAACTAGGTGCATTAATCGAGACGTGTATTGATCAGCTTGCAGTCACAAACGCTTAAGAACGTTTAAAGGCCAATACTAAGAGAAAATTTAGACCTTGGCAGAAAAGCGGAAAACATAAAGATACAATCGGAACTCACGCTGGTAGAAAAGCACAAACCATCGACTACACTGAAAATAAATTACGTGAAAATTTATTCTTGTGGAATATACAATTTATTTCACAGAAGTAAAGTTTTATTTCACAAGAATGAAATCTATATCCCACAAATAAATTTTAAATTCTTTTTCTTAATGTATCGCTTGATCACCAGCCTGAGTTCTGATTGACTCTTGCCTTTTTGTTTTCTGCTTTTTTGCCATGGTACGACTTATCCCTAAGAGCTTGTCGTGAGTAAAATGAAACTCGCGGTATGATTATCGCGATATTATTACAAAATGACAACGTAAAGCGATCTTCTGTGAAAAATTTCTTTGAAGAAAAAATCAACTCCCGAAACTCGTCGAACAGCTTTTGGACTTTCAAACGCGTCGTTCCACAGGCATCGTTTAAGACAGATTTGAAAAAGTAGTTGAGACGAAGACTTGAAGCAATTAATTTATGCCAATTTATTTTCTTTTATTCGCCCGAATTAAATTCGCCCCGCAAGGAGGTCCAAAGCGAATGCGATATGCACTCGAGGTAATAATTAACCGCCATAATTTCCTTATCTCCTTAAACGTACACGCCTCTAATGCGCGCCGTGCTATCCTACTGGCGTTTCGTTGCCATTTCTGGGATTCTGTCAGCGTTATTGTGCAGCGACGTCAGTTGTACCTACTCGCCGTTATCAGAGACCTTTTAAACACGCGCGGGTCTACATTGTCCACATATCGGCGGTCATATTTTCCCCGCTATTTTGGAACACTTCAGGCGCGATACCTTTTTGCAATGTTCCAATCCCATGAAACGGAAAGGCGGAGAGTTTTCTTCAGAATTAAAATGATTAATTCGCGAAATACCGCGCGAATTTATGTGTCAATAAATACGTTCGGATATTCTGGTGGTAACGAATGTAAATTTCCGTTCGCAGCGATAGTTGCGGTTTTCTAGAGAGGGAAAGAGAAAGATTATCGCGTTTATTATTAATCTAGATAAACTAGAGTACACGTAAACTAAAGTTTCGTAATGTACTTCGAAACGTGATTGCACGCAAAAGCTTGGGAAAAATTTCGGTAAACTAAATCTTCTGGTAAACTCGCCCACTACATTTCGTGATGCAGCGCTGTTAATTGCAATTAATTAACAGTGCGATCAATCAGTACTAAAATTAATTAATACCCGACGATTTAATTCCCCATTCGGGAGCACTGCGTTGCCGCACATATCACGCTTTATTTCCCTACGTGTGTCTCATCAAACCACGGAGATCGCATCTCCGCGCGAGATCTGAGCGCTTACGCGCTTTCTCGTTTCTCAAAAACGAGAAAGGAGTCGACACGCGAAATGCAAAAATAAGAGAAAGCTCGAGATCCGGCAAGGATCCGGAATTGATTTCGCCCGACGTAATAGCACGTATGACGAATGCTGCTCGTTGCACCTGCAGGTGCGGGTGCATCTCGGGGACGCGAGGAAAAAAGGTTGCGCGCGGCGGCGGGCGATGTATATACGTACATAAACATGTATGTATACGGAGCAGTTTCCTGAAACCGGTCCTCGGAGAACGTTCGTACTTTTACGCGACTCGCGCCGGTTCGCCAAGGCGAGTTACATCGTCAATCGAGCGTGTGAAAGCGCATGCTCTCTCTCTCTCTCTCCCCCCTCACTCTTTCTCTTCCCCCCTCACTCTCTCTCTCTTTCTTTCTCTCTCTCTCGTTCGCTCGTCCAGACGATTTTCTGCGTCTTCGGCTTTCTGGAGCGCCTTGCCGGCCTTTTGCTAAACGATCGAGCGGCAAATTACGTTAATGAAAAGGGGCGTTGGGTGTCGCGATGAGGCGACATCGTTGCAGAGACTTTATTCGATAACGAAGCGCACGTTATTATCATTTTTATGTGTCCCGGTCTAAACACGCGATTTTTATCCGAGCGAACAGCGTTAATTTCGCAATTCGGTTATTATACGGTGCTTCTGCGAGTCGCCTCGCGCTGCTACTTGCTTGGAAGTCCGCCCTTCGTGAAGGAACCGGTTGCGCCGCGAGAAAAAAGAAAAATCGGGCCAAGGATGTAGCGAACGTGGCTATCGTAAACCGATACCCCCGTCTTCTTTGCTATACTTTGAACTTTGCAGTACACGCCGGTCCGGCTTTCGTTCGCATTTTCTGGTTAAACAGTGCCGTGAACTGCAAATTACTGAAATAAAAAAATAATTTGATACAACTTCTCGAGCCGTAATTTCGATCCCTTTATCAATATTCTATTGTACATCTACTCGGCTCTGAGGTCGGCATCAACCTCTTTTGATTCTATTTAACTTGCAGTGTTGCAGTAGAGATCCTTTTTAGAACAAGTGGCATTTCATGCGTTTTCTACCATTTAGAAGCGCCAAGTAGGACTTCTGTTTCCATATTCTGTAAAAAATCTTGCGTACACAGTATGTAAACAAATGTTCCAAAAAGTCCATTCTAAATTTTGTGTCGAAAATAATTCATTCATATGTTCATTCGTGTGTTATTTATATTATGTACTAGTCTATACATAATGCAAATAACACACGAATGAACATACGAATGAGTTATTTTCGACACAAAATTTAGAGTGGACTTTTTGGAATATTTGTTTACGTAATGTGTACGCAAGATTTTTTACAATGTATGTATTAAACAAACACCGATTCTTCAGAATATACAAATGTTAGCAAGTTCAGGTCGAAAGTAGGATTGAAATTTCGAATTGGGGCGAAAATTTCGAATTCACAGGACGAAAATGCCCGTATAATAGCGAGTATCATTATCTCACGTCGCAGATGCGTCATACAAACATGTTTACCCACGGAGTAGGAATTTCAACGAATTCAGATAATCACACATCGGACGCGCGAAATGCAAAAGATTAGCGCGTTGTAACAGGCGGATGAGAAATGCGCGTCACGTGTAGTACCCGTCGAGAGCTTTTGCGTTTCCTTTGTCAATGTTGTGTTCACTTTGACGGATCTCTGAGCTCTCGGTAATCCCCCTTAATTACTCGCTAAGGGGAAGTCGATCACGACCACTTGGAAACAACGGAATCTCGTGACGGAATGCGATCTTTTACGTTACGGAACTGCCGACGGAAATGGTCTTTTCATTTCCTTAGGCGAGTGCTCTTTGAGCAATTTGTAGTCGATTGTTTGTTCCGCAGAGGAACAGCACACGACACGTTTCCACCTGAAACCGAGCCTCAGCGCGTTCAATGTCACTCGACGGAATTCGATTTGTGGCCAAGCCGAGCATTAATCGCCGAAATAATGAAGAACGGCACATCAAGGGAGGAAATCGTTGAGAAGCACAGCACGCGACCGCGCGAGAGAAACAGCTTTCGCGTATTTTCGGGACACCTCGTTTCGACACATCGCCGTGAGTCTCGCGTCGGCAGCTCCGGATAGCGCGCGACGAAGAAGAGATAGATGAGGATAAATCAATTCAGGCTTTTCGGAAAAACAAAGCCGCAGCGGCGCGACGGAGCACTTCGTCACGGCTCAGAAGACTTTCAACTTAATAAAACCGCAAAAGTGCCTGCCAAGGGAAGGTGGAAGGGTAACACGATAGACGGCGGTCGCGTTGCCGTGGCCCGGAAGAAATAATATCGTATCCATAATTTCAGTCCGGGGTACTTTTAAGCCCCGCTACAATTCATATATCAATGCCGCGCCGGGGGTGGCGGTGGCGGCGCGTTCGCGAGAAGAAAACTGAGAGATAGAAAGAGAGAGAGAAGGCGGAGGAAGGGGTGGATGAGGTGGCAGCGAGAAATAAAGGGCGGCAGCCAATTCGCTATATGGACCGCTCTAAGGGGAAACAGTCTGGCGCAGGAATAGACATATACTAACTGTGTCACGGGGTTGGCTTTGCCACGATACTCCGCCGAGCGCGGGAAAAGATGGGATTCGCCGCGCGCGCGGCAGCTTCGCCTCGTTTCTATGCATAAACCGCGATATCAAGCCCGGAATAAGAGAGGAATAGGATGGGCGGGAATCGCAGGGGGTTCGGATGCGCGCGTGTACTTTAATCCGGTTTTTCCTGCGATCTTTCGAGGCGCCGCGCCTGCCAGTCGAATAGCAAGATTAACCCTCAGCCGCGCCCCATTTTCTTTCCCTTTATCCGCGACTTCGTTCGTGTCAAACGCGAGTTAACTGGTTTCGGAACTGGGTCGGTCTATCTGGTTTTTTCGGGAACATCTCGTCGGGGGAGAGTCCACAGAAATAGAAATTTCACCGCATTCGGTGGGTATCGCGCGCGCTGTGAAAGCTTACGGTTAAGACGCTCAATTTGCCACCACGAATCAGGGATTAACGTTAACGAACTGATGAAGTAATTGAATGAAAAGAGTAATACTAAAAGAGAATCTGTGAGAGATTGGTCGTGGGGAGAGGAAGAGCTTTTCGCTCGAAGGTTAGTCGTGACGTCACTTTGGAACGTTACGCCTCACCGGGAATTTTCAGCGCGGTTAGCGCCACTTTTACGCCGAACCTCGAATCATCGCCGATAAATTCGCCATCGCCTCTCGATAATACGTGCGATCCCCCGAATTTATTATTTTACGCGAGCGGATGCGGAGCGATTTAATCGAATTATGTAATTTCGCGTTACACACCTTCCTCTCGCTACATGTTAATTCTCTTATGCGTGGTTTTATGCGGACGCATCGGCTGTGCGAATCGGTTGCCGAGCAACGCGCGCGTTATCAAGATCGAGCGTTGGCGCATTACAACGGGATGCCTCGCCAATGACGGCTATCTAGCATGCTTAATGCATCACTCCGCCATTTAGTTAATAATCGAACTAAAGCGCGCGCGAACGCGCCCCGCCGAACGGGGCGCGTATTTTCCCCACGAGAGCGTATGCGCGATACGTCCGGCACGCGAACTTCAAACGCGCCGCGCAAATTCGCCGGCAAATACAATAAGCCGGTGATCCAGCGGAGTCAGCCGGGCACGCCGACTGGAGGCAGGTATATCGGCTGATTACATTCCGGCCCGTGTAATTTACAAATTAATTGTGTCAGTCGTCGCAAAACACGCGCGCGTTAAGCGATTTGCCGCGTCGCGTTTGCGCGCGCATGAACGCGTGTGTGTATGCAGAGCTCTCGTAATGCGCACAATAAATGCGCGTAATTCTGCGTTTAAGTTAATTTCTCGTGCGCGTCTCTGAGCGGTGGGTCTTTCGATTCGGAACGCGCGATTCAGCCCCGCTCGAAAAAAAGTCGCACGCGGACACGAGGAGCACCGGAAGGTTCGGATTTCCTACGGTAATTACGCTTCATTACAAAGAACACGCGGTGGCACTTAATTCCCGATGGTGGGAAATCGTCGAAATTGCAGCCGCGGCGCGCGGAATAATTAATTCCCCGGAGTACAACTGGCATACGTTAATTTTTCCTTTGACGTACGCCCGCGCGAACTAATATCGAGCTGCCCGAGAGGAGAACCCCTCGGCGAATTACAGACGTAAGACGCTTGACGGGAAAGTTTTTTCATTTCAACGAAAACAATCTCTCCCGTGCGCCGTGATGTGTCAGCAGAGGATAGAGTCAACCGAGGCAAATTACGTATTCGCAATTAGGAATGCATAAGTCGCGTTGTAACGAGAGATTTTTTTATTAATTTTCGATCGATTTCTCCTGAGATGTATGTGTGTGTGTACGCGCGCGCGATCAACTGTGGGCGTTTTATATGCAAGTCACAAAATTTAGATTGTTAGATTATTATTTCATCATGCAAATATTATTTTATATGCCAGTTTTCATGAATAGAATTGTTGCATAATATGCACATTATAAAAACATTTCAGAAATTGAAATGTTAAAATAAAAAAAGAACACATACATATACATATAAATGCGTGCAATATAAATTGATATTTGAATATGGAAAGGGAGCAGTATTGTTGTATCAATAAATGGCATAACAATGATACAGTCTGCTTTTGTAACTAAAACTGTATTATTGAACGTACGGTTTTCTTTTTACCTTTTTTTATTCTATACGATACGCCAAAATTGGAATAATAAATCGCGGCGAGACAAAGAGAGAGAGAGAAAGAGGGAGAGAGTCGATACACGAAATGCAATAAAAACACCGCAGAACAATTGATTTATACGCAGAGCTAAAACTCGGTTAGGTCGCGCGCACGCCGAATGATTTCGAACAATGTCGAATTATTTTGATACATGTGAAAGACGTTGTTTAAACACTCCTACGCGTGAAGTGAAAATCATAATAATGACGATGACGGAAACAGAGCACAATATAGACGAAGTCTGGAATCGAGTTGCGCGGAATTCACGCGACACCCGTTATTAGGCGACCTTTTGGCGTGAAACGCGTAACGCATGAATGCAGTGAATGCATGCGAGTGAAAACAAACGCGCACAGGACTCGTTATCGACACCATCGGACGGCGATTGTCGCGACGGGATCGACATGACGATCTTTTGATCGGCAATCGCGTTTAAAGAGCCGTTTAATTAGCGCACCTCCTAGAGCGCAATTCGCTTTGATTTAATGTGCGTCCGAGGATCCTAACTGGAGCACCGGGCGATTTTCTCCTGCAGTTCTGATATGTCACTTTCCGCGGCGCGGAATGTAAATTATGCCTGTCTGTCTGTTTGAAAGGCATTTCCATTTGCGCGAATTAAGTGGAACAAGCGGAAGAATTCGTTTTCAGCTGACTCCACGGGTATATCTCGCGCGTGATCAGACGACTGTCCTGAAGAATTGATAAATCTCATCCCGCAACAGTTGCCGTCTCAATTATCTCGTTGAGGGACGTTACTTTTGTCCTTGTTTGCTCGTCGGGCTATTTTCGCCGCCACTTGGCGCACACTACGTGTCGAACGTTGCGCCTCGAGTCTCACGTGATTCGCGAATATGTGATATAAGAAGGGAAGGAGAATGACGTGGCAGATGTTACTCTGATCTTGAAAATACCACGCGATCCACAATTGCATTTTTGCAGAGATTTCGCCCAGTAGTCATTTCTTTTTTCTCTATACCAGAAGCTCTATTACCCTTTCACTACCTTTCAACGGGAGACATACGTTTTCTCTACCATTAATAATCACTTTATTCGATTGAATAAACAATTTTTTGTTTATTCGATTGAATAAACAATTTTTTTGACACTCAGAACACATCACTCTGCTTGTGTACAACGTTGGAACAAGTATGCTCTCCTAAAAATTCTAATGAGTCCCCCTTTGGCAAAATTTAATTTTTTTGTTAAAACTATATTATATATTAGAGTATATAATGAAGTAAAAATAAAATTGTATCTTTAAAAAATAGAATTAGCAGTACAAAAGGGTTGAGATACGCGAAACGTAGGAATTGACGCATCGAATCGGTAAGCAGGTTGGCTGATTGATCAAGTCAGAAATAACCCGTTAGCGTTGTTTTTTTCATACACGCAATTTCTTTCTATGGTCTTTTGCTCATCCCTTTTGCGCGATTTCATTTCATAGAATTTTACTCGTTCGAAGCTTTCAGCTTGGTATATATTAGGCATCCTATCGGATTATTCTATACATCACGTTTACGTAATGCATTTACAAATTTCGGATAGCATCGAGTGCTATAAATTGGAAGCAGGTTCCAAGGGAGCAATTTGCGCAGGGACGTTCATTATTTTCATATCTGGCGAATTGTTGCACAAATACCTGAATAAATTTAACGTTATTTGGGCATATAGAGCGTATCATGTGCGTATACCGTCGCACATACTGCAACACTCGCGTTTATTGTCGCAAAAATGGGAAGGAAGGCGATTTTGTTCTACGATTGCTCTACGTATTAACGCGTCTCTCGCACTATTGCGTCGCATGACTTGTCTCTCGCGTGCAAAATACAAAGTCTACAGATATAACAATAACGAGTCCGCGGCGTTTCGTACTCTTTACGTGCCTCACGCGCGAATCGAGATAAGCAAGTTGAGAAGAATGGAAAGAGAATGACTGCGGAGAGAAGAGTTTACCTGTATATCGGCGCGTCCGTTTCCTCCTTGTACCAAATAACCAGGTGCAGCTTGTCCCCGGGGAGTGGCGGTTTCACGTCGCAGGGTAACTGCGCAGTTTGGCCTGCCACTGCTTCCGCATCTGTCATTGTCACTGTAATGACAAAGCCGGGTCGAGAGTCAGCCAGGATCTCATATAACCGGAAAAACGTGGTCGGAATAGACGCGTTTCGGGAGCGCGCGCTAATCTGCTCCGTATTAATGGCCGGATCCGCCGATTTCGCAGCGTTCGCGAACACGAACGAGATTTAATCCGCGCGAATGCGTCGCGTACTCGAGTTCTCAAGATCGCGCTCGAGTGCACTCCTAAGCCGAAGATCCTCTCGCGAGGAGGATGGCCGATATTTTATCGGACTGTATCTTTTGTCTCGCAAGTCGCGCGCGGCAGCATTCGGAGGATGAGTATGCCGATCCTTCGGGATCGGCATACAACTCCGTAGAGTGCACGCGGCCGCGCGAAAGCACGAGGGACATATTTCTTTGTTTTGCCAATAAAGGACGTTCAAAGAGATAAAACGTCGTCCCTTCGGAACCCCGTCGGCCGACACAGACCGCCTCCCTTTCGCGATAAAATCTGAACTGTCTCCGGCGCGTATCGAAGACCGCTTCCGACGGGAATCATTTCGTTTTTAGCGCGGAATCCCGCGACCGGGGAACCGTTCCTCGTTTTCTTTCGAAGGATGGAACATTTTCTATTCGGTTTATTCGCGTTTGCACCCGATACACCGCCTCTTCTCGCGGACGTTCCGCGGATTGCCCTCGACTATTGTTTTTTAACAGACAGAGACGATCGTGTAATGACAACTAGAATGTAACATAATGACTGTATCTTTGGCGTAGCTTGTGTTTATTGCAGCTTCCTCTTCTTTTTCAATGCTCCAAGTACAGTGAGTTGCAAAACCGTTTAGTTAAATATGGGGGTTTTTCTGTTTGGAGTATCCACACTTACGGTATGTGCAAGCCACGGAATTTTTGGATTAGGCAAATATTACGCCAACTGACAGTTTGTGATTTCCCATACAAAATTTTTTCCGTTTTCTCCATATATTGAGCAATACTCTTATTTATTGCATGTACTTTTGTCAAATCTTGCCAGAGGGTAGGAACGTGAGTTGGGGTGAAGATTTGAGGGGGAAATTTGGAGGGCCGAGGTAGCACAATAATTCTCATTTACTGCAGGAAAAAGTTATTGGAGAACAATGGCTGCATTTAGCAGAAGCATTTGTGATTGCTTTGTTTTATATAATTTGTTTTATATAATTAATAATTTAATAATTTTGTTATAAAATTCTCTCCGTTTTTATCCGTAATTAATATAGGGCATAACATTTTATCCGTAATTAATATAGAGCATATAGGATTCTTGGTAGATCCGAAATAAAATAATATGCTAATATGTAATAATAATATATAAAAAAAAATAATATAGTGATCAGGAGCAAAATAATTTGGCGTCCCGACTTATGCTAAACACAAGCATATGTGGAATCGTTGTAGAATCGCAATCTATCCGTGAAAAATGATGAAAAAAGAGAATATTGGTCGAGGGAATTAACTCGTTTATTGCGTAAAAGCATTTGTAATTCTGTACAAGGAGTACGAAGTACATAAAGAAAAATGTCAGTATTCTGTCGGTAAAGTTTCAGCATCCCCTTAAGAGTGCAAAATTTAGTTTGCATGTGTGCTAAACATACACTAATTCTTCACAAGTGTACAAACGTTGGAAAGTTCAGGTCGAGAAAACAGAGACTAAAATTTCGACTCGTGTAAACTGTCAGAATTGAGAGTCATCACTGACAGGTTTGCCCAGTGTGATTACACCATTATTTATTATTATTTATTATTCTCAATTATATGCTGTTAATTGTTAATAACAATACGCAAATCTGTCGATAATAACGCTCAATTTTGACAGCTTGGCGAGCTGCCAACTTCACTTTATCGCAACCGTTTTGTAACTCACTGTACACGTGATTCCCCACGAGGATTTCCAAGACATTTTCAGACACATCGCGACCATTTTTCATCCCCATTTGTCGTTCTTTCGAAAGCGCTGCGAACAGTTTCGTCGAAAATCCGCCGGATATGTTTAATGATCCGTATGTTCGGCAATGGACGCGTTTCACTGGCCCTCTGTCTCTTCCCGCCCTCTCTCGTACACAGCGCGACTGCGGCGTCTGGTTATAATTAATGCACGATCAATTAATTTCGTCCCTTGTTTTACGCCGTCAACGACAAATTTACCGGATCATCGTCGCGCGGCCGGCGAATTTGCGCGTTTTATCGTATGAGAGCGGCGCGCGCGCGTATCCATTTTGCGCTTTCGCGGTGTTGGTGCGCCGATATGACGGCGGTACAAATCGCGGCGATAATTGGCGCTCGCGAGTCCCGCCGGACGAGCATAATCGTATAATCGCGCGTGTTTGAATGTATTATGACTCGCGGAGAGTTTCTTTCGAAATTGATTTACGTGCCGCGGGGTGTACGCGCGCTGCGATTCACGATTCTCGCCGCGCGCGCTTCGCCCTAAATAGCTTCGTCCGCTGCTCGTGAGCTTTATTTATCGATATCACGGCCAACACGCATTGAACATTCATATCGTAATGAGAATAAAATAGCCGTATCAGAGCGCTAATGCGCGCTGCTTATTCGGGTCGCGCGCGTGCTCTTTCTTGCTCTTTCTCGCTCTCCTTCTTTACCTTTTTACTCGAACTGAGCGCGCCGAATCGCGCCTCTTTCTTTTCTGTGTGCTCCGTGGAATCTATAAGTTACAATGTACGAGACTGCCTTCTCCTAGATTAGATCGAGCCAGGCAATAAATAAACCGACGCTGCAAAGCAGTATGTGATGGACGAAGAGTAAGAATTATTTTTATGCAAATCAGACGGAGTCTGATAAATATAACGAACGGTAAAAACATACCGAGCTGTTCTTATTCGGCCAATGTGCCAAGGAAGTGTCGTTTTCTTTCGGTGTGTGTGTGTGTGTGTGTGTATTTGTGTTTTATATCTTTATTTTTGCAACATAGTATCCGGGGCGCGACATTTCGAAGCAACGGCATCGGCGAGCTATTTATTGCAAACGTTTGGCCAAGCTCGCGGGATCGCGAGATCTCCATTTTAAATGTAATCCCGCAAAAGTATACACGCGCGTCCAGGTATCGATAATGGTAACTGTAATCAAGTCGGAAGATGAAATTCGGCCGATCAATTTCGAGGAGGGGGACTCGCGCTGTAAAATAACATCGATGCCGCGGCGCGCGCCTGTAACGTTTCCGACGTTGGGGATTTTTTAAATTGAATCTCCACCCTTTTTTCCCGGCGCGGTCCGCCCGACAGCAGTCGCATTTGAATACATAATTGGCAGCTTTTCCTGCCCTCACCCGTGCTGCCGATTCGCCGTTTTATGTCTTACCTTTGTGTATCTCCTTCCAGCTCGTCGGCCAATAAAGTGCGATTTAATTTCGATGTGGAAAACGAGAAAAAAAAACAATATGGCGCGGACGTAAAGCCACCGCGGAACATTAATGAAAATGTCGATATCGATATGTGTCTCTCGTACTACTGTCCGTAGCAGTCACCCTGTCGTGTCCTCTTATTTATTTACGCTTTTTCCTCTTTGCGCGGCTATCGATTACCGCTTGTATGAAGCGCGCCAGTCTGGCATATTCTACGAGACGAGTAGCGCATGAACTGTCACTTTCGACTTTCGATCCCCGCTGATTATTCGGATCTTTATTGCATGATTTTAATTGGGAGCCTTGGGGCCGCGCGATTTTGCGCGAAAGGTCGCGTAAGAAAAGAGAAAACGAGAAAGAATCTCTCTGTTATAGAAATAAACAAGTGGCAGAATATACAACCAGATGTCGATACAGCGGAAATTGTCGCAAAATATGTTTGCTCCTGCCGCGTATTCTGCGCGCGTTTTTCGTAGTTTTCGTAGCGCGATTCTTTCCCGCGCGGACGAGCGAGACTTCGAATGCAGCAACGCGATACGATGCGACGAGTCCGACCACAAGTTTCCCGCGCCGTGGATTTTACCACCGCAAGCAACCATTTTCATTTGGCTTTCCCGCGGCGCTAAGTGAATTTTGCCGGACGCCTTTCTTCCGTTCCCTCGTCGTGTACACGTTTGAGCTCGCAGCTCGCATTATATACCGGCTGAATCTAATCCCTGCTTTTCATAAAGTCCGCCCGGCCGATCTGCCGGGCGCGTTCGCGAAAAAGGATGTATCGTCGCCCGTAGTAATTCCGAAGGAAAAGCGCGCCATGTTAATTATCGCCGTTGGCGGGAGGATATTTTCCCGCGGTTATTTCCCGGTCGCAATAATGAGGCGCTTTCGCGTGTTATTAGAGTCGTGCGCGCGTGGAGCTCGTATTTAGCCAGGAGTGGGTTACAAGTACGCACGCGTGCGGATAGACGCGCTGTAAATGCTGAGTATACTCGATGGTTTTGTGTGCTCTCGTAGAGCAAGTTTAACATCGCCACAAGCGATGTTTGACTGAAATTGCGATACACGCTCCGGATTTTCGTCCGAATTTCAACCGAATCTGGGGATCTCGCGCCCTTAAATGCGAAATATCGCGCAATTCCCAAGTTTCATCGCACTTGTCGATACCCTGACGAGCGCGCGGTCGACTATTTTCAGCGAGAACGCGAGACTTCTTTTCCTTTTTTCGCGCCATCTTCCAATTTTCGCCGTTGGCATATTCTATGTTGGTAGTCAATCGTGGAATTAAAGTGCACTCCTCGGATCCGATTTCATCTCAAAATCGGGGATGAGTCCACATTTCGACGTTGATTCGCGATACTGAGCTTTAATCTGCGAAAAGTTCCTCACTTTCTACTTCTCGACAACTATCGGCTCCGCAATGTTTTGTCGTCTTTGGCGCGTCTCGCGCGTTTTAAGGTCGTGTTAACAGTTGTCACGTAAAACATGCTTTATGTAAGACACATGAGAGATGTTTCTTCAGAGTTGAATCAAAATTTTTCAATTAGAAAACTTTCATCCGACTTTGAACTCAAATCTGAGTATCTCACTTGGGAAGAGTTTCAAGCGACTATGAATAGAGGGCTTTAAACGAAGGGGATACT